GGAGTCAAATATTTAATAATGCAATTAATTCTCAAAATAGCTGACATATCATTTCTAAAACATCTTATAGCATGAAATCCTGCATAGTCCCTAAACTCATGAAGTTAACTGTGCCTAGGGGAGATTGCTAGCTTGTAATGCAGTAATAAGTAATTGTTTAGTATTTCCTTTGAAGTACACATTTGCTGCCACACTGTTTTACTTAAACACATCTCATCAGCAAATCCAGAAAATTCCTTTTGCTAAAGGGATAATTATAAAGCTGTCTACATAACAAGCTATCCTCTTTGAAGCTCTAAATCAGAATCCAAGGCTGTATTACTATAATTAATATTTCTTTATATTTTTTATGGATCTTTTCACCCTCAGGAACCCTAACAGCACCTTTTTCTCTTCAAACCCTTCTGTCCAATCACAATGCCTGCTAGCAGTTACTAAATTATTATTTAACCAGCTATCTCAAACACAACTGTTATTTCTATATTGTTAGGCAGAGATAAGAAATTGCAGTTTCACAAATATCCTTTTACTGTTAACAAAACTAAATGACTAATTTGTAACAAGTTATTCAACAAATTCCAAGTCTTATCTTCTATAAAATAACTTCATTGCTAAATTAGAGATTACCATTTCAAATCAAGAACATAAACAAGTATGAAATAATTTATTATTTTTTTAAAAATCAAAGCATACTTGGCCTCCCATCATTCTTTTATTTAGCAATTCTTTGTCTTACCATTGGATTCAACAAATGTTCTAGGAATATTAAACTAACATTAAACTACCAAGCTAAGAACATGAAAATTCAGAACTTTACAAGACAGTCATAAGGTCTGGACATTGAGAGAACACTTAGTGAAAGTTTTTTTATAATCAGGGGAAACAGAGAACAAAGAATATAATGTATAAATGTGTCCCCTAAGTCTTTGTGTATGCAAATACGGAGAGCTAATTAGAGGAAAATACCTGCACACTTACAAATCCAACATTACCTCTCTTTCCTTTCTATTCTCAAACTCCAAAGTAATTATAACTTCAGCATTTTTACTCTATCCCACAAAATGGCTAGTTTCAAAATTAGTTTCTTAGACAGCTCCGTGGAGTGAATGCATTTGTATATTCTTTCGATTAAGGACAATGTGTGAAGGTATTAGCGTTTTTCCTGGTGATATTTACATTTTATTTTTTTTTTTACAGTTACGTATTTAAAGAAAATATCTTTCAGGAGGATGGAGCCAGGCTTTTCTCAGTGATGTAGGACAAGGGGCAATGGGTGTAAGCTGGAACACAGGAGGTTCTGCTTAAACTCGAGGAGAAACTTCTTTACTGCAAGAGTGACAGAGCACTGGAACAAGCTGCCCAGGGAGGTTGTGGAGTCTCCTTCTCTAGAGACATTTAAGATCCACCTGGACACCTTCTTGTGTAATCTCATTTAGGTGTTCCTGCTCCAGCAGGGGGATTGGTCTAGATGGTCTTTTGAGGTCTCTTCCAAACCCTAACATTCTGTGATTCTGTGATCTTTGGATCTGTTCACCTTTTCTAAGGAAGTCTACACACCAGCTTTTAAAAATTTCAAATCTTTAATTACAAAAATCTCATCTCTCTTTTTTTGAATCAGACAAAAATCTAATACACAGAAATGAAACATAAGCCCATCTTGGATATGCAACAAATCTTTACATTTTTTGCCCTCAGTATTAAATATCACTCTAAATTTTTATTACAAATAGTTTTCATTTGTTGAGAAATATTATGTTTCATGGTGGAGAACAACTAAGCTTGAAAAGTACACTACGTCCAGAAAAGAAAGGAGAAATTTAAAAAACTATGTAAAAATATAAACAAGATAATTAAGAGTGGAAAAAGAAAGCACACAACTAAATAATGCTCTGTTCTGCTAAGCAGCCTACAAAACATCAGACCCAAACCATGATTATTCTGAGGAAACCTTTTAATATTGACCTTAGCTATAGCATTCATCAAGTACCACAGTGATTCCCTGCACCTGCTATATACAGCTACTAAAGTGAACATTAAAGAATATACTTAATTGTCAGAATAGAAAAAAGTACCCTCTTTTCTACGTAAGATGAAATCAGATGACAGGCAAAAGCTAAAGCATCACCCTTTCTAGAGTTGTCCTTAGGAACAGCCTAGAAACAAAGTAAAACCTATCCTAACTGAAGTCAGCAGGATCCATACTTGGAAATTTGACTTGGAACATTCCAAAGAGATGAGATGAAATTTTATGCCCACTTTTTATCACACTGGAATACTAAAGGTCAGATAACTATGAGAAAATTACATACTAATTAGAGAGTTATACAAGCCTACAGAAAACAACTTAATACAAGAGTTAAGACTGGGAACTCTATGAATCATAAATAAGGAAATGCACTGTTAGAGTTAAATTGATAGTTCTAACTCTGTCCTAATGTCTAAGTTGATTTATGTATAGTGGAAATGTCAGAGGAAGAAGGACATAACACAAACATCAGAGCTTATAAACTCTGTGACCCATAGCTTCCTACTTATACACCATTGGAAACAAGCCAGTCTTCACTGAGGTCTCTAAATGCTCAGAGATATACAAACCTCAGGTTTTTATTTTGCAAATTCTCAGTTTTCAGGTGTTTTGATTACATGGCATTTAGCTATGTGGTTCAAGCTGAATGTGCTTCCATTAAGCAGGCTTATTGTTAATTTTTTTCTGAATAAGCTGTAGTCATTATCAACCAGTGAAAATAAAACAAATTCCCAGTTCAGCCCATATCAGTTAGAGTATTCCATAACAACAATTAATATCTGTGTAGAATCTTTAATTCCTGAGTGCATTTCTGACTTCAAATACACATCAACAACAGTGAAGTGGAAGTCAAATTTTACAAACTCAAGAACTTAACTTTATTGATAATAAGTTAATAAAATGACTTATTTTATTCTAAGCACAGGAAGAACTTTGTGCAATGATATAATGACATAACTTTCTTTTACAAATTACAAAGACTTTTTTTTTTTTTTTTTTAACTGACATCCTGTGGCTGTTCTTTCTGTATCTAAGGGCCAAATTATAAAAGCTCTGTAAGCACCTAACACTTTTCAAGATTATTAGGTCTTTAAATTTCGTTTAAATTCTATTTGCATATCTCAGGTATCTGAAACTCAGGTAATCAATGTTCATTTAGGTGCTTAAACAACATAAAAAATCTCCATAAAATATTCATCCCAGTCTGTATGAATACTTGATTCAACTTAGACTTACAAAAAGGATCTTAAGGGTCCAGAAGAGAAACCAGATTGTTTTTCATGTGATTCTTTATCTTTTCCTATCCCCAGGCAAGGTAATGGTGTAAAGTGTGGTCTTAAACACTCATATACTAGCAATAATCTTTCTGCCTCACATTAGAAGCTTTTCTGAGAATGGTATTTTATTTACAGCACCACAAAAGAAAAACATGCAACTGACCCACATAATTCTATTCCATTATTTATTCTGTGATTTTATTGACCATGGCTGCATGTTCTGATAAAGTAACTATTGCTACTGATCTTGGTAACTGTCCAAGGGTTTGAAAGAAATTATATCTTGGATCAATGCGGAAAATATACTACTACAATGAGTGAGATGACCTGCTAGAAATTTTAAATTGAAAAAGTTGAAAAATTAAAGAATTAAAATATTATTAAAAACAAGGAAGCATGAAACAATGACTTACAATAATAAGCAGCAGCTACATGTAAACCAGATGCTTACTTAACACATTTCTAAAAATATGGGGGGTTTCTTTTGTTTTTCTGAAATTATTTAAAGAAATGAACAATGTAACTTTACAGATTCCATCATATAGTACTTATAAAGTGCAGCACAACAGAATTAGTAAATAGTTGAAATTTAAAATGTTTCCGATTATCATGTTCAAGACACTATATACAGCAACAGAAAAAAAAATCTCTAAAAAGAGTAATTTTCTAAAAATGTGACAAAAAGGAAAATAACTTTTTAAAATACTCATTGTCAGTTAGTATCTAATGTCTATAAAATCTTTAAATGTCATCAGCAGAAAAAAAAAATGTTCAAAATATTAACTATGTTCTGTGGCTCAATTAACGATCTAGATAACTGAAAGATAACTACGATATTAATCTTCAAGAAACAAAATTTTCCATTTTTCAAATGGAACGTGAAAAGACTTTAAAAAAAATAACCTAAAGAGCAGTGGTACTCTGTCAGGAACGATGTTACAAATTGCTCCAGGACAAAGTGAAAAATTAGATCTTTCAACAAATTTGAAAACTAAAGAAGTCGTAATGTACGATACGTTTTACAATAAATCCTTTCCCGACATTGCAATTTGAGATTTAATTCCAAATAATGAGCAGAAACACTGTAAATGTAGTAATGAAAGCTTATTTGCATGAAGGTAATTGCAAATTTTATGAACTGAAGTGAGGCAAGAGAATAATGGCAATGGAAGAAAAAAACCAAATAACTAAAATAATTAGCTATGTGAAGGCATAGAAACTGAAAAATATTGTAAGGAGTTATTTATAGTATTCATAAAACACAGAAAAAAAGAATTATGTAGAAACGAAATAGTACACATTATTAATGAATTAATCTTAAATGAATAAGACATAAAACACAGAGAAAGAGGCAATTGTGTTTTAGCTTGATTTTTGTTAGGTTTTGACATAATTTCATTCAATATTTTCATGAACAAAGTAGGGAAATATGGACTGGATGAATTAGACATTTACAGTTTAGCATTATCATTTGGAAAAAATATAGTGTATGTAATTTTGAAAGAGAGATTATATGGCCATGTATTCATTCTACAGAACATTAACAGAAAGACCACAGTTACTCTCTGACTCATGTTTACAATAATGTTTGGTCTCATACATCTAAACAAATTTAGTAACAGAAATAAAAATTTCACTTTTTTTTTTTTAGCTTCACAAACATGTACAACAAAGAAACTAAACACTGATATTCATACCGTCATAAATCCATCCAGCAAACCTGAATCAGGCTTAGGAGGTGCTTGCAATCGCTCCATAGACCACTTTTCAATGATAGATGACACCTGGGTATTTTCTGTGTTTAGAATTCTGAATCCAGTCATATTAACACCACTGTACCGATAGGGTTCCACATCCAAGGCAAACAAGTCCTGCAAAAAGTGACCATCGTATAAATTCTTTAATACACTGTAATTCTTATTTCAATTGCTAGACCAACTCCTCATACAAGAGTATTGAAATATGCAGGAGTAACAGTATTATATATGCTAGGAAGTATGCTCTGTTTATCTGGGGGGCCTGTGTCTGTGAGCAAGCAACTCAGACCACCCTATAGTGGGAGTAATCTGATTCACAGAGGAGGAACAGCTTCAACTCCCTTTTTTGGAGGGGGAAAAAAAAATTTTAAAATAAAGACTTTTAGGAAATGCTAAGTCCAGTTGCAGAACTGTATCCACTACTAGTTAGGCTTAAATACTAGAATAGGCTCAAATATTATTATTAATTGCTAAAAATATTATTAATTACTACTTATTTGGCTTCCCAGAGTTTTCTTGCACCTACACTCTCTATGAAACTTGAACATGCTGATCTCTAGAAGATAAATTGCAGGGGGCAGGGGAAATATATACAGCTTTAAATTTAACCAAAAACATTTTTCACAACTATCAATCATATTTTTTCAAGAATAATCTTTGCCAATTAATGTATTTTCAATACATATGCATGTGTGTGTATAGTTAACCACCTAACACACACACACAGAGGCAAATATAAATTAATAAAAAAAATAAAAATATTTTAAATCAAGTAAGTAAACTCAAGATTATCCCAATCCTTTGACAGAACCCGTAGAAACAATGTAGAACTAGTACTTGGCTTCAGGAAACTCAGGTCTTGTTTTGAATACATGAAAAAAAAAAATTAAGTTGATGAAGAAAAGAGTAACGACTCACTAGGCCTAGGTACATGCATTATAAACAAACTTTCATTTGGTTTCCTTTTTGTTTCCATTTAAATATTTTTTTCAGTGATATAATCAAGGTTATACATAAGACATTACTGTCTTATAATCTAATTTTAGTTTCATTGAACATAGAAATCCTCCACATAATTCACACTTAGTCATTCATCTCATTTTTAATTTATTTTTTGCTGGCAGTTTAATATATTATAAATTTCCTTAAAATGGTAGTGTTAGGTGTAACACTTGTCTGAATCCATTTTGTTTACTGACTAAAGATGAAGATTAAATATTTTACTATGGAAAACCAAGATATAATTCATTATTCTTTGTAACATCACCAAGCCCACTAAAATAGCAACCAGTTATCAATCACTACCCATTTTTAATTATAGCTAGTAATTATGATACCATTTTCCATTTATAATATATAAGATATGCAGGTGTCAAAATGTTTTTAAGTTATTCATTTACAAATAAACTAATGTCCTCGTTCTAAAAAATTAAAACATTTTAATGCAAAACATAACTAGAACTATGTTATATTTTTCCCTTTAAAATTTCTCTCAGTTTTTACTGTGAAAGAAGTCAGAATCTCTGATCTAATTATTTAATCCAAGCACATTCATATTTACACTGGAATATAACAAATATACACAACAATATTATGCATATATTATAAAAACACAGGTCAGAGTAACAATGAGCTACTGCATTAAACCCTGAATCAATCAAGATGAGAATACACAGAAGACTGCTGTAAACACTGTGACTGGAAAATTTATTTGACAGGACATTCACCATGTCAGGTAAGAAGCAATTAATATATCAAAACAACTAAATTCTGATGCAAGTTCCAAAGCTACATTGAAAAATCAAAATCTATCATGTGTTTGTGCACACTAAATTATCCTTTGATAGCTCCATGTCAATATAATACTAGTCTCTCCTAAAAAAAAAAAAGGCTAAAGTTCTAATAAAGAAATAAGAATGACAGAAAATCTTGATTTTCAAACATGGCTTTAAGAATAAAAATTAAATGCCAATGGACAACATACCACTCAAAGAAGCAATTTTCACTATTAGCAAAATAAAAAATCCCTTGAAACATCTAGAATCCATTTTGTTAGACTAGTGAGGGAAATTCTATTGCATGCATCGTAAACCTATAAGCGATGGCACAACTTACCCTTCTAAAGTAAGAAACATACTTGGTGCAGGGTATTTTACCTTTACAGTTCTAATGAACTTCACAAATTACTTTGCTTTTTATGCAACAAGTTATTTCCACGCTAATACTTTCCACAAACTTCTGTTTTTCAGCTCTGAGGTGATTTTTCCATCCTACCACAAAGGATTCATTTCCAAAAGGAATTAAACATATATGCAACTTTAAATATAGATCATTTCAAGCATGGCTTTACCAAGGCAGGTCTATCTCATGCTTGAAAAGATTTGTGTTTTAAGAATCTTAAAGAACTGCAAGCTAAATAGACAAATTTTAACACAATGAAAAACAGAGAAATGTGCACAACTGTCATTTCTAGAGTACTATTTTAACAACTTTTAAACTATTTCTTAGTTAGACTGTGGTGAAGAGCAAAAAAGGTCTTCACGTATACGTTTGGCTGGAGCACCTCTCCTATGAGGACAGGCTGAGAGAGTTGGGGCTGTTCAGCCTGGAAAAGAGAAGGTTTAGGGCAGATCTTACAGCTTCCAATACCTGAAGGGGGCCTACAAGAAAGATGACAAGGGACTTTTTACAAAGGCTGGTAGTAATAGAAAAAGGGGAAATGGTTTTAAACTGGAAGAATGTAGGTTTAGATTAGGTATTAGGAAGAAATTATTTCCTGTGAGAGTGGTGAGACACTGGAACAGGTTGCCCAGGTTGTGGCTGCCCCCTCCCTGGAAGTGTTCAAGGCCACGCTGGATGAGGCTTTGAGCAACCTGGTCTAGTAGAAGGTGTTCCTGCTCATGGCAGGGGGGTTGGAACTAGATGATCTTTAAGGTCTCTTCCAACCCGGACCATTCTATGATATTATGTTATGTTTTATAAGAGCATTCACATTTTACACGTCCATTTATTGCAAATGTTAAATCTGATGGATCCAAGAATGATCAAATTCCTTCTTAGTTACTTTTACAATAGACACCAAAGAATCTTGCCTAATTCATATGCCTAAGAAACTCATATGGACTGTTAAATAAAATGCTGCTAATATTCACACCAAATTATTCAGGAATCATGACAGTGAAGAATTACCTTATAAAATCTTGGACTAAAAATAAGGAATATATGGGTAAGTTTAAAATGTCATAATCTTCACATACAAATAGCTAAAAGAGAAAAAAAGACAAACTTCATAATATAAATACTCAGTTATTAATTATATATTTAACCCTGCTTGAAAGTTAAAAACTGCAGTGCTACAGTCATTTGCTTTTTCAAGTTCCAGGCCACACTGTTGAACAATAATTAAATCATCCTGACGAATTTTCATTGAAAGTAAAAAAACTGAACAGAGAAAGCATCTTGTACTCACACTCTATTCCAGAGAGACCTTTTTCACTTTGTCAAGTAATATAATTAAGGAAAGTAACAACTTTGTTAGATGTCATCAGTATATTTTTATAAGCCACTTACCAGTGTGGTAAAGATATAGTGATAGTATTCTGTCATCATTCCCATAGCTAAAGCCTTAAAAAAATAAACAAAAGATTAATGTTTCTGAGGTCACATAATACATTTTTATCACAGTTACATGGTAAATGAAAAGCTGCAAAAGAATACTACTGGGATCAGACTATAGGGTTGGAATTGTACTAAAATTAGGTCAAGCAAGTCATTTCCTAGCAGTTAGAGCAGATTACTGACTATTAAAGGAATTTATGAACCAGATCTTCTGATAGAAAGAATATTATTAGACTATTTAGTGCAGTAAATGTGAAAGAGGCTTACAGTTTTACATACTAATGGATGCATTAAGTTGCCACACAAAATTTGAGTTGACAATATTTTCATTCGTTATTGAACCCTTCCCTTAAAAAGAATAACCTAACAGGATTTTTTTTTTTCTATTTTGACGAACAATACTATGCATTTAAAAGAAGGAATCAAACTTACATTTTACATGTGTTCATTTTTACAACCATGGAAGAAAATACTTCGGTCGAGTTTTGAAGAGCGAGATATATATTACTCCAGTAAAACCAAATATTCATAATATTATTCTATAAACTCAGATATCTATCAAGTACCTCATCTTTCTTGCTATCTATTTAATAACAAATAGTTTTTTATCAACTATGCATTTTTAAATGTTCATAATAACCATGTCTGCTTTCCCTGGTTGCCTGGTGATGTAGTTATCACTGAGGTTTGCCTTAATTTAACTATGCTTGTGTCAATGACAGGATTTTTTTTCCTTTTCATGATGTATTTTTGGACAGAAACAGTAGTTCCTATTTCACCGGCCTCTCAAGGTACAGTTTTTTTCTTTATTTCCAACTTGTTTTCTCTTCCACCAACTTCATTATTAATCTTTCCCATCATCCCCCAAAGAAGAAACTCCTTGTCATGTCTCCCCAAATTCATCCCTCCATTACTACAAAAAATTGGTTAATTAATAGTTCACAAATAAACATGCAAACATGTTTTAAAATTATTTTTCTGTAAACAATGTAAACACTATATTTGGAATGGTATCGCTAAATAATAAATACAGTCTTAACATCCTTTGTGTCAATTTTAACAGCAAGAGAACTGCTGCAGATTCAGCTGCAATACTAACAATTTTAGACATATTTAAAGCATTGCAGTATTAGTGCTGAATGGAAAACTAAAAGTCTAGAGAAACTGTTTAAATATCTAAACACTCAAGAAAGAAATGTTCCTCTGTCTTCCTTCTATAATCTTTAAGATGAGTAGAGTAGTTTGAGACAACTATACAACTTGATTTAAAGACTCACTCTTGGATCCTGGGACACCATTAAAGATAGAACACTTTTAATTTTGTTCCCATTTCCCTCTAGTCATATATTTTACACAATGTTGTATACTGTGAAAGAACAGTTTCCTTTCACATGGAAACTACTACGTACAGTATAAATAATATACTTTGACAGAGTTATGGTTAGTACCACAGCTTTGTATTGCCATCAACACATTTTCCATCTGCATTTGTAAGATGTTAAAATAATTAAATGTACATTTAATGATTTGGGCTAAACTATTAGACTAATTAGGTTGGCTTATGGTTGGCAAAGAGCAAAAACCACTAACAGAGATTTAAAATTACTAAGAATTAATAAAAGCCTTTCCAACAATGAACAATAAAGCAAATAAATTATAGTATACTTGTACGTTTACTAGCAATTTTAATTGTACCCACAACACCACCCCTAAGTACCTTTAATGAGAGACATATTTTCAAATCTTAAATACATTTTGTTCTCAATTTAAACCATAAGTCTGCTAGCAAACATAATATAAACATGAATTAAAGTCACTAAAAACTGTGCATTAGAAATGTATAATTTTGTTTTGTTTAAGGTATTTTTCCTATCCTCCTTAATGCAAGTCATAGTTCAATTAAAAAACTATGATGGGGAAAATGGCCTCTGAGCATAAGGAATACCCAGTCTTTGGAGCTAGCTCATTAAAGTAAAGGAGACACACAAAGGTATGTCTTTTATGCATACTTCAGGGTTACAATAAGTTTTTTTATGAGCCACACCCTTTGTATACTGCTATATTGCCATCTTCTCTTAGAAGATATCACTAGAATCTGCTTCTGCAATAGCAGAAAGCATTTGGGATTCTGCTGTACCTCACCTACTCATCTTTCTTGTACACAACAAGCAAACACTTTCAAAGCACCTACCCAAATGTATTCAGATGTCTTGCAAACCTATTAGTAGTGCAAGGAGAATATGGCTCTAAAAGTTCTGTCCTCCCAATTGAACATATTAATGTTATCTGTTGGCAACGTACTATTCAAATATCACTATCTGATTAAGAGTACACAATTTAGAGGCTTTAATTAAAAAAAAAAAATAAATCTTTGTTATATGAAATAACACTAAGTAAGTGTTTAAAAATCTGGTTAAATCATCAATTTTCCAAAGTACCAATTCTTCATAGTGGAAAGTTTGATACACCTTTTACCCTGTACACGAAATGATTAATCAGTTTCTTTAAAAAAACATAATGAAAGCAGCTACTGCTACAGTCACCAATAAAATTACCCCTGAAATCCTTGTCTGATTTTCAGTTAGGCCTCAGTAAAATCAGCATGCAATTCCTCTGCTTGTTAAATGCCATTAAGACTGGGTATTACTTTTATTTATTAGGGATGAAAAAGATTAGGCCATCTAAAGCAAAATTAGTATTACCTGTTTCAAGATGCCTGCTGCCATTTCATGACTGCAGTCAAAGATTACATGGAATTCTTTGCCTCTTTTCATCTCTTTTAGCAATGGCTTTGCATCTTTCGTGTCAGCTGGTAACTGACGGATTTTTAGTCTCAGGTTGTATCGTGATGGAGCCTTGATGAGCTCTTGTAATCGAATAAGGCCTTAAAGAAAACACAGGAGTCATAAGAAAAGAAATTTACCAAAACAAGAGCCTGAGCTGCTAACAGGACAACTTACTATAAACTGTCAAAGTTATCTGAATTTTTCCCTTCTCAGTATGTTGCAACAGATACAGAAAATAATTATTAAAAAGAAGAAAAAAAAAAAAGAAAATTAAAGTATTGGCACCTGTGATACTTTCTTACAAGTCTTTCTTCTTCCTTAATATTAACAGACAGTAAGCAGACTCAGTTAGGATTACCTCAAGACAGACAAATCTTCCTTTAGCATTATCATGCAACTATGACATCCTCCTCAAAGAATGCAAATAATTATTCTAATCCAATTAAAGCAATATCCCAGATTAAAAGTTTGTAATCAGACTAGCTAGTCTTCTTAACTAATCTGTCAGGTTTACATTTAAAGTTGTGAATAATTTCAACACGGTAGAACACTCTCACGTAACTAACAAAATTATTTTTTTTCTTGATTATATAGGTGAGAAAACATATATATGCAGTATCAGAGAGACTGAATTAATGACTCATGCCATCGCATTCATCTTCAATACTCCACAATACCATTTTGAATTACATTGCTTTTACTATGGTACCAGATGTAATATTTTCCCAGAAATTTTATTGTTCACATCAGCATAACAGTGTGCGGTGTGGTTTAGAGATCACTGATTGATCTGTGACTAAAATTAAATATTAGGTTGTTTAACTCTATTCAAATGACACGGTAAAAGCAAGTCTCCTATAAAGTTTTCATTTATTTCTGTGTTAGCAAAAAGAAGATATATTCTGTTGTGCTCACTTCCTTCTTGCATTGGAGCATGCTCCACTTAGTGACAGTAAAAAGGGTTACTGTTCATCATTGTTTTCAGTGCACATATATAACACACCCAACTGCCAAAAAATGGAAGCGCTGCTTAGGGTTTTAGTTACAGCAGGATCCAGGTGTAAATGAAGTGAAGTGCATCTAAAATCTGAAATAGGTCACTTCACTACATAAACAATATTAATGGATATATTAATTATTATTTAGTTATCACCACAGGCAGAACTGTCTAGTTTTAAAACACATAGTTATTTTATATTTTATCTCTAAATTTTCTTCCTGATTACAACTGGATGTCGCAGTTGTCTTGATTTCAGGAAATTATATTGTTGCAATGTAACACAGAACAATACTACTGCATGAAGAATTGTGATAACCTCTGACAGAAGATTTAATACTGCCTTTTTCCCACATACATTGTTCTTTCAATAACATAATGCTGAGAGATTTTAGTAATGTAGTATTGCTATGAAGCTTGTTTTGCTATGAAGCTTTCAGATTGTAAAAAACTTAGCTCTAGTCATTTCCAGCAGAACCAAACAAATAGAGAATATAACTGAAAGATAAAATCAGTCTCCTCTGCTTCATCATTCCCTTTTTTTGACCCTGCAAAGGTGCAAAGGATCCACATTATTTTCTTAACAATTTCTGCTGTAATTAGCTGGAACAGGAACTATAGCTTACAATATAAAAACTTTCTAGATTAAGACTGCAGATATGGAGATCTGGTAGAGGATCCCAGTAGACCACTTCAGCCCAAAAGCAGAGTGGGGAAAGGTAACTTTACTACTTTGTCAATTTAGACATTTTTTCTTCACTCACAAGTCTATGTCACAGATACAATACCTCATATTTCATTATAATTTCTCATTAATGCCCTTATCACATACAAACTTTCTCAACAATGTGTCTGTTGTCCAAACTGAGACAATTGTTACCTATAGCTAAATGATCTCTCAAATTTCCATCTTCTAAAAACATTTCTATAGGATCTTCATTAACAGCTAAAGTACTGTGAAGAACTAAATCCAGTAATTCAGTGTGGGCTGACATTTTCCATATAAAATTATAATGTGAAAAATGTTAAGTCTTTTCTAAAAAACGTAACAGCATATCAAAACTTAGGGTCAGAGTAAAGTGTTTTAACTCAAGAAGAGATAAAAAATAAATCCACATGTTCTAGATTATTTGTCATTGCTCGCTAAAAGAAGACAACTGGAAACTTTTGTCCAGCACAAATAAATTGTGAATAATCTTGACGCCTATTACATTATATTTAGCAAGTGTAATTTTAGACTTGTCCAGCTTTCTTTACTTCATTTCATTTTGCTTGTCCTGCTTTGAAAAAGAAATAAAAGCCACCATTAAAGAATCACAGAAACAACACTATATCTACTGGCAGTCTTTAGCAGAGCAGCTGAGGGCAGAACAGATATGGAAACTGAAGCACTTTCTCATGACTAGACCTGGTCGCTGCTCGTTAAGACACAGAGAAGTGATACCTAGGATATACATGACTTCTGAGTAAATGGCAGATATAAAAGTCTACATGGCTGTGAAAATAGTACTTCTAGAATCTAATTAAAATACAAAAATTTGCCATGTTTACTTCAAATGTTATAACAACATTTACGTAAAATGAATTAAAGTATTTAATGGAAGCTTAAATTGATTTCATACTTGATTTCTAAATAATCTTGAATAAATATACTTAAAAGCTATATAGAAGAGGTGCCTTTTCTACTGCATATTAGTACCATTTTCAGATGATCTGGGACAATTACATGAAAGTAAAGCTTCGGAATGAACAACATGGCATACCCCATAGCCATTAACAACCTTATCAAAAATAACGAACTGTAACATGTCAGCAAAAACACTTAGGATTGTCCATAAGTCTTTCCCATTACCTTAAGAGTAAGAAAAATAAAGCAACTAGAATGCATGCCCTTGTGGTCAAAAAATTTAGATTATTTCACAGTGAGGAAAGGACAACATTTCAAAGCAGAGTCTTTCTCAGAGGCAGAGTCCTGCCAGTTGCTCACTTGCTCAGATATCCATGCACTTCCACTTTAAGAACTACAAATCACAAGAGTGACAATATGGGACAGGTAGTATGACACACTGACAGAAAAAAAGAAATCCTGGCTTTTGATGCTCAGTAGTCAAATATGACTGAGAAGACAGATAGAAAGACAGTCTTTCTAAATAGCCATGTTATTTCAAATCGGGTAACGCCGCAAAATGCTTTGCCATATAACAGACAATAGTAACTAAACCTGATAAATGAGCTGTCAGTATGTGAACTAGAGACATGCATCTGTCTGAACTACTTACATCACACTTAAGAGCAAGAAGACAGGGGAAAGAATAACAGATTCGGAGCAGGGAGTGAGAATCTTAATGTACAAACTTCTTCAGGACCTTATACCCCTGAAGTATTCAGATATTAATAGGGACTTCTGGGATGAACTATTTTTTAAACTCCAAGTAATGTTTAGTGGAAAAAGTTCTATGTCACACTGAACATTTGCCATGAACCTTCAGTGATTCCTTGCAGCAGATCATCACATCTAAAAACCATGGTGAGTAAGGGAGATTAAGGCAACGTGAAACTCTTAAAAAGAGTTTTACGTCACAGACATGTGGTTTGAAAGTGATTATAATCAGTTACAAAGAATAAGTACTGATCTCCCGGTGGGAAAGAATTAAGTAAACTGACAAAGATGAGAAGTCCACAATTTGCATCAAAAAATCATATCCATGAGATGTACAGAAAATAGAAATCTGTTTAAAAACAAAACATTAGTGGTGAAAATATGCTAAAAGAGATTGAAGATTAGGAAATTCAAAACTGCACTGCTGTTTGAGTATCATAAAGAGGCAATGATTAAAAATATGCATTTACACAAAATGAGGAAAATCAGAACTATGTCTGAACTACAAGTTGTTTTCAGATAATAGCATGGTGGCTTTTCCCTCAGGATTTTTGTAATCTCAAATATATTTGGCTTTGTTTTTCCAGAGGAATTAAATTTTATTTTATTCAGGAGCCAAGGAATGAATTAAGTATTATAGACTATTCTTAAGTGCAGTGTTATCCAAATCTGCAGCTGGAGTTGCTTAGCAGGAGATAAATAGACACTTGTTAGTATGATGGTTATGATTGTCATCTGAGAAAGGAAACATCTGGGCTTTAATTCCTGTTCTCATATTTCTATACTGAACTAATTATCAAGAGTAGCAACAGACAAAGGTAGCTTTACTCTACTGTGGAAGTTTTGGAATCAGAACCACTCCAGAACAAAACTTACTATGTTTCTGGAACTGATTGTGAAATCAATTTGATTGTATAAGACATTAAAGTGATTCATAAAGTTCAAGTTTTCTATACAAGTACCTATATAAGTATTTTTAATATATCAAGGGTTGAAAGGAAATCTCATTGGTCTTTCTTGACTGCAAACTGTTTTTTCTTTCAAAGCATTGTTTACTCAGAAGGGCAAAGTGCCTAACTGGTATATTTTACTCACATTCTCAGATATTGTACCAATCACCTTTGTTACACCTGTGGAGACTTAGGATTGTCAAGGAATGTTAAAGTGGGTTGGAAGAAGGGAAAAAAGGGAGGCTGCTTTTCTCTGTAGCAAGTCTGTAAGTTCCAAAATTTTAGTAAACAAGTGTAAGACATAACAAATTGACAGGTCCTTTGATCTATCCCCATTTCTCGCACCAAAGTGATCCATTTTTGTTCTTTTACTGTAGGTCCCAGGTTTGTTACAGAATAGTGAGAAGTGTTTTGTGGCCTATAGGAGCTTCTGAAGTAGATGTCTTACAATGCTCTTATGAATTAAACATCTACTGTATGGCTGACTGTAACTGCAGAAGGTGAATAAACTTTATTCCAAGCTTTGTTTTGTTTCTGAGCATTACCCAAAAAAATAAGCCAAGCGCACAACACTTCATGCTCTCTTCAAGAGCCTAGCTGAGCTGTTCAAGAATTTAAAAAAGGAAGTGCTCCTCTTCATAAATCTTGTCATGATTGGGCTGTCCCACCAAAATTTGAATTAGAAGGTTTACACATGCAGGAACTAATCCCAGAGCAATTAAAAACTGTCAAGAAGAATACTGTAGGTATAGTGTCTGCTTTTTAGGTTAC